GAGAGAGAGAGAGAGAGAGAGAGAGAGAGAGAGAGAGAGAGAGAGAGAGCATCCGTTAGTTGCCAGCGAAGCCGCAACAGGTCATCTAGTCGAGTCTCAAAGTCTTTAAATACTTCCTACCACTACTCCTAATCCTATACGGTGGATCCCTGCAAGCATAACTACCTCTCAATGGGATGAATGGACTCGACCCTAGTTGGCTATGGTCAAGGAGTACAGTGGGGGGGCTGTGGGGGCAGCCGGGTCATTCTCTTTTTTTTCCCTATTCAAGTAGCTGCGCCTCCCATCTACATCCCACGCCCCTATCGAGTAACAGCAGTGTCCAAGGCCAGCACTCTCACAGTCACCGCATACAACTTCCACACAAATGGACACAAATGAGTTGGTATGGCCGACCAAAGTCTGCCACGGTCAGGCGTTTTTTATGGAGTTGTGTATAGCGAACCTAACAACACACACACATGATGCCAAAAGACCCCACCAGTACCGACCCACCGGGGAAGCCAGCTAGCTCAGTTGTTTGGCACTCCACCCCAAGAGGTCAATGGGGCACGCATTTTTCCGCTTCCCGTGGGGATTGAAGCCATGACCTCCTGAATGCCACTCGCATTCCTAACACGCTGAGCCTGGCCGCTCGCTACTGCCGGGCAGCCTAACTCAGTTGGTAAGGCACACAAGTGGTATTCAGGAGGTGAGTCCAGAATTGTCATGTACCTGCCTGGGCGTGCTTGGGAACCACCTTGTAGAGGTAGCCTGTTGGCCCTGTGGATTGGCAGGGGGATTGGAGTTGGGGTGGTTTTTGAGCTACAGGAGGTCAGTTTGCATGGTCCCTGATGCGCGGGCTGACCATGCCAGATATCGCCCACCTGCAGGTCGGGTGCAACCTTGCATGGCCCCTCTCCACGATGTGGCTGGTATATTGTTCCTCGTAATAATGAAACGCCTGAAAGGGCATCCTGTTGGACCAGGCGGATGATTGAATTGGTTGGGGTTACGACCAGGTCGGGTGCTCTTTGGGCCTGGACTGGTTGTGAAAGGAACAGGCCACTATGAAAAAGTGTAGTTGCAGACTTGCGAGCTTTGGAAGGTAGCTTCGTCAACTTAGGCTCGTGTGAACTGGTGGTTTGTGATTACAAAAAAAAGGATTTCCACTGGGTGGGACGAAACTTTCCTGCCATGGAATCGAGCTCCAACGTGGCCTTTCGCTTGGAGAACCTGCCATTCAATCCTTTTGCAGCTGGGAATGGGAAGTATAGTAGAAATTGAGAGAAGGCGAAGTCTTTTCCAGTTGAGTATGCCCGTAATTGGTCACGCCAACATTTTGTTGCTTTCTTCTTTATCTGCTATTTCTCCCTCTTTTCACGTATGCAGGTTTATCGCTCACTCCTGTGTAACTTTTTCCTCTCCCTGCCTCGCTTGTGGTTGATTACGCCTGGTTGGGTTTTCGTGTGACCGAGCGATCACTTTTCAGGTGGGAAGTAGGCCAGTTTCCTTTTTTGCCTCTTACACTTCCGTGGGTCCGTCTAGTGGGCGTGTGTCTTTGCTGTGCGCCATTGACTTTTCTCCCCTTGGACACTCGAATTGCTTGCTCTTATGGTGACAAGGCTTTCTGTTTGTCGGGTGCTTTCTCTGACTATTTTCCCGGTTTTCCTGATCCTGCGGTTGATGTATTGATGTTTTCCTGGTATGAAACGTAACGGTGCAACTTGCAGCTGCCTGGCTAATAAAGCGATATCTTCCCCTACTTCTTCAAAGACGAAAAGCCCCGTCAATCCCATTGCCAGTGAAAAGAAGATTGCTGGCTCGGCAAACCAGCGGACTACCGAATCAAAAGGTGAGTATTGAGTTTTTTTGGTGGTTTTGAGGAGTGTTTTTGTTCTCATAATTGTTCTGCTTTGGAGGAAAACGACTTGAGTAAATTGACTGCTGCATTACTTTCTTTCTTCTTTTCTTTTTATATCTGATGTCAGCGCAAACCCTGAATGCTGAGCGTTGCTAGGTTCCCCCTTTAGGCAGCTGGTATTCCCTGCGAATATAGTATGGATTTCAGTTTTTGCGGTCTCGTAATGCAGGTGGAAGAAGAAAAGAAGAAAAAGAATGCGGGCGGGAACAGCATGTCAACTTGATTCTCGTTTCTTATGCCAATGAACCTCACTCGATAAATGGTAAGGGGGTATGATAGTTGTCAAAGCACACACCTGTGGGCATATTCACACTAGGACACTTTTACTTATTCATGGATGTGATTGTGTTCAGATCCATCCAGGCCTGGCTGTAAAGGTGGTCAACACATTTAAGATAGAGCCAGTGTCAGTACACCCTAGGTGTGTTTATCTATATTTTATTTCGCATTCATTCTGGCGGTCGTGTTCTTTTGTATTCTGGTTCTTTTTTGTTTTTGACAGCAAGGTTCTTAGCATCCATATACGTGAGTTCCCCCCCCCCCCCCCCCCCCCCCCCCCCCCCCCCCCCCCCCCCCACACACACACACACACACACACACACACACACAATACAAGCCCCTTCTATTCTGGGGGGCGACAGTCCAGTTGATGATCACCTGCAAGCATGAAGTTGGTACACAAAACATAACAGCATAGAAAAAAGGGGGGGGATAATAGGGTGGTGGGGAGCAGGGGGAAGGTAGCAAATAGGAGAGTAGAACCTTACCCGTGTTCTCTAGATGCTAACCAAGAGGGGAGTAATTTGTCTCGCCCTCATCCACAGAGCCTTGCCCCCTTCGCCCCCCCCCCCTGCTAGTCGCGTAACCCAGAGGCGGTACCAAGTCGCTTAGTAGCTGAGGTCCCAAGGGGACTGGGTGCAGGGGGCAGGGCAAGTCATGTAGCCACCGTGTCCACCTGCACGAACTGCATTTCCGGTCAAGATAGCCGACTATATCTCTACTTCTGCTTATCTTGCTCTACCATGCCTCAGCTAAGATTGTATTACTCACACTTAAACCACAAGTACACGTCCTCGGCCTTGCAGCAAAATAACTTGTCGCCACAAGAAGTACAAGGCGGGCTCGGGGCAGGGTCGGAACGTCAGAAGGTTTGGCCACGATTGCAGTTGGATACAGTTTTTGGAGTACTTTGTGTGAGTCTGCCCTCAGTGAGGGCAGTCAGGCAGAACGAAGAACATAGGGAGCACGACTGTCAGACAAAAAAAGAACAAAAAAAAAAGCCAACAAGGCTTTGGCAGTGAAAGCGATTGGATGCATTTCAATGGCGCTAGTGTGAGTATGCCCTCAGCGAGGGCATTTTGAGCACGAGGAATATGTGCAGTCTTGCTGGCAGGGAAAGGAAGAAAAGAACAAAAGGAGAAAAAAAGAAGAAACAGCAACGTTTCGCTCTCCCCGCAATAGTGGTCAGATGCATTCTGGAAAGTTATCATTTGTGTATGGCCTCTATGACGTCCTTCCACAACATCATTCATCTCTGGCATGTTTGTTCCATTCTTTTTTTTTTTTCCTTCAACCACCACTACCTTTCACAGGCAAACGCGAAGTCCATCTAGTAGCCTACTCCTGAAAACACGGGGCTCGGGGCAGGGTTGGAGGCCGGCGAAAAAAAAAAGAAAAAAAAGGAGAAAAAAGAAAGAAAACGAAGAGTCCCCACTCCAGGGATGTCGGGGACGGCCCTCTCGAGGGTGGAAGTTATATCAGTGCTTTGACGAATGTATCTGGCTACCATGTCCGAAAAGTGATTGCAGGTCGTTTTTCATTTTGTTTTTGTTTTGAAATCCTTGTAGTGCCCTGCCAGCAATGCAGGGCGTGTTTCACAGGTGGCACGTTACTGTCTCACTGCTGTAGCATCATGTATCCGCCCTCAATCATAGGATAAGGGATTCCTTCTTTTTTTTTTTCTTGCTTCTCTGTTTTTTCCCGTACACGCCCTCACTGAGGGCACAGTCACACAAGCACCTCATAGAATGTATCTGGTGGTTATCAAGGCGTTCGGGAAGTCTCTTTTTTTTTCTTTTTTTCCCTCTTCTTTCTTCGATGGAACTGCCCCGGCTAGGCCAAACTCGGTGCGCAGTGAAAATCAGGGTCGGCAAAAACAGGTTCGGAGGTAGTGGTGGTTTCAGGTACCGGTGCCACTTCCGAAATTGCCACTGCAGGTACCCTCACGCAGAGGGCTTGGAAAATAGCGTTGCGCAGTGGGCAGGCAGCTTCGGGATTTTAGGTGCGGGTGTACTGGTGGTTTAAGCTCCTGTTGTTATGCCTGTGTTGCCTCTTACCTTTTCGTCTCCTTGCCATGTACTCCCCTTGCCCACTCACACACCTCCCTATAGTACACGACCCTACCTCTCCCCCTACTGTATACGGACAATTTTTTTACACTTCTGACTCAGTTTCTACCTGGGCGTCTGACGTTGGGTGTTGTAGCAGCGGGCCAAATTGAATGTGGCCAGATTGTTTATTCTGGCCCACCACAGCAGTATAAGGTCCCAATCTATTCCAGAAACGGGCTAACCCGGATCCTGTATTCCCCAGGCTGTGGCTATCCCTACACTTACCAAAATCGCTAATGTGAGAATTTTGGCATCCGGGCCGTCCATGGACAAACTGGCCCGATGGCCCAGATTGCCCCGCGATCTTAAACCACCAGTACATGGCCTCAGCCTTGCAGCAAAATAACTTGTCACCACAAGCAGTAAAAGGCTGGCTCGCGGCAGGGTCGGAGCGTCAGAAGGTCTTCAAAATTTTGGGCCCATGTCAAATCCATACATCCCAAAAAACAAAACAAGCTTTGGCCGTGATCGCAGTTGGATACACTTTTTGGAGTACTGCCCTCAGGGCCTAGTTGCACTACTCGCCATATGTCAAGTTTGGTGAGTAGGAGCCTGGTTGCACTTACTCACCAAACTTGACGAATGCAAAATGTGTCAGACGGCTCGCCACACCGTCGACAGAAGTTGTGGAGTGTTTCGAGTTTCCCCGCCTGTGCACGACGGTTTGTGGAGGGTGGTCCTCGGACCTCTCCACGCGAGGTTCGGGGGCTTACAAGATTTGCCGCACGTGGCTGTACCACGTGGTGTGAATTCTTTTGTTTGTTTCCTTCCTTTCTTGTTCGTTTGTCTTTAGTGTGTGTGTGCGTGCGTGTGTGTGTGTGTGTGTGTGTGTGTGTGTGTGTGTGTGTGTGTGTGTGAGAGAGAG